CCCTGTCCTCCATATGCCTTAGCATAGCTTCCAGGAGGATCTGTTCCATGATCTTCCCAGGCACAGAGGTGAGACTGACTGGCCTGTAGTTCCCCGGGTCTTCCTATTTTCCCTTTTTAAAAATGGGGGTTATGTTTCCCTTTTTCCAGCCTCCTTGTTTCCTACACTGCAATTGACTGTTAATGCTGCTTTAAATATTAAGGCTTCGACAGTGAAAGATGCATTTACTCAGCCTTAAGTATGCTCCTGGTCTAGCTGCATGTATTTAGTGGCATGAACATACAACTTTTAAAATTAAACAGGAAAAAAGCTGACTGACTGAAATTATCATCAGATCAGGTTGGAGAAACTAAATCCTATGTGGATGGCTTCCAGGAGGATAGGTGTTAGCCCATACTCTTTATTTTCTGTGGCTTGTCTGCATGTCATCAGCGTTGTCACGCTACCTTCTCAATTTATATCAGATTGACTTTTATAAATCTTCAGAGCACTGGATAGTCTCTGTGGTAAAGCCTGAAACTCGCTCCTTGCGCAGCTCATCACATAATGTTGAGGAGGAATGGAAAGTATAACACAGCCTTCTGACTTAGGGAAATTATTAGCATGGCTTTTTTACTAAGAGAAAACAACAGTGAAAAAATTTTCCAAAAAGTTGCTGAATTTCGATGTAGAGATTATGTTGAGGTAGACAGATTAGTTCCACTTCTGAACAGGTCACGTAGCTATGCCTGACGCAGGAGTTCTGTGCCGTTAGATGAGACTTGAGATTTTCATAGAGATGAGACCCTTTGCTCATCAGTGAGTTTTGTAGACCTGATAACATTGAGTAGTGCTTGGGGCCAAAATCTACCAGTTGGGAATTAACTGTCTGTATTAATTGGCAATGAATTAAATTAATCTTCCCCAGATCGAAACTGTTTTGCCTGTGATGGTAACTGGTGAGTGATCTCCATGTCCTTATCTTGACCCACAAGCTTTTCATTGTATTTTCTCCCCTGTCTTGCTGAGGAGGGGGAGTGAGAGAGCAGCTGGGTGGGTACCTGGCTGCTAGCCAAGGTCAGCCCACCACACTAGGATAAGTATCCTGAGGAGTTGACACAGTTTGTGAGTGGAAGGAGGGGACTTTTTGATATATCTCTATGATCATAACTTGTGGAAGACAAGGGGTAAGCGGTCATCCTGAGGGTGCTGATGCTTTCTGTTCTGAAAGGCCTCGGTGATCTAACCAACGTGTATACAGATAGCACCATCATATTTAAATGAAGCATACAATATTAATAAATTAGTTTCCAACCCTCGATGCTTGATTGTTTTGCTGATGCTTCAAACTAAAGCTTGGAAAAAAGTTTATGAAGTTACTTCTCCACGTATGCATGGAGAATGAATTTCCACGAATTGAGGGACTGTTTTCATTACATTTGACCATTAGTATGTTATTTGCAATGTAACTTTGAGTTTTGACCAGATGTTTGGTTCTTTCCCTGAATGTAAAGGCTTGAAATTTTTTGGTTAGCACTTAACTGTTGTTCTGCATCTTTTGTGTTTAGCACTGAATTACAGTGAGGCTTCATTGTAGCGGGGGTGGGAGGAAGGGAGCACTAAGAAGGTATTAAATGGATTTGTCCTTAGATCTAGATGTTGTAAAAACTTGTGTGAATCTTAATCTAAAAGAAATGGAAAGACTTTTAGGTATTTCTTGATTGCTAATTCAAGAATGGGGAAAAAAGGCACAAATATCTACCAGTAGCCCCCACTAATATTTGTTGCAGCAAAGAAAGATGAGTTCTAAACTTAAGTAAAACCTCCAAAACCACCCTCTGCCTCAGATTTCCATTTTAGCATTGCCCTTCCATCTCCATGGATGTTGGAGAAGTGCAGTGCCTTGTTTTGCTGCAGCGTCTATTCCTAACTTACTGGCAGCAGCTGTACTATGAAAGGTTGCTATGCTACATGTGCACTTAAGTTTATGCGTGGCTATTTTTAAACTGTCACAAGGTAAGGCATGCTTTTGCTTAAGTTGTCTTGCAGCAGTACACACCAAGAATTATTTATGTTCCTCGAAGAAAAGAGTTCTAGTTTTATTTCGAGACTTCATGCACCTCAAGTGAAGTACTGTCTTTATTGCTAAAAATAGTGGGGAGAAAAACTGCAGTTTCCTTCAGAATCTCTGACATCAGTAAATTGTATCTGAGCAAAATAGTATCAGCTTTTGGGTGGGTTTTTTTGAGACTAGATATGTTTAATGGCTGGGGGTTAATTTAATCTATTAATACAACATTTATGAGAAGTCCTGTTGTCTCTGGGATAGACTACATACTTGGGTACTAAGTAATATTTAGTGCAGTAAGTTCTCTTAATAAGAAGTTTTGTAAGCAGATGGTGGAATTTTTGTTTTAGTAAAAATAGACATCTGACTGTAGCTTTTATTTCTGTGACGCAGAATCTGATTTTTTTTTCAATTTTTTTTTTATTTTTAAGAAGAGTTACCAAACATAAGACTGCTTTTCTAACCCTGTTTTTTGTTCATCACTGTACTATAGATCATGGATTTTAGGGGAATGGTAATGTGGTATTGGTTGAAATTGTAATGGCTTTTATGTCTGAACTTGTACAGTTGCAGAGATGCTTCACTAATCTCATGCTAACCTAATAATAATTAGCTGTACTGAAAAGTGTGACCTATATTAGTGTAGACCAAACCAAGTACGTTTTAAATGCTTGTAGTGTGCTGCTGTTACTGTGTTTAGCCAAAACCAAAAGGTTTGTATCAAAATTCTTCATTGTTGAACACTGTAGTTCTGAGTCTTACCCTTTGTTTTAATTTGTTGTAGGTGTATATTTGCCTTTGTTATGGGAACAGAGTTTTTGTTGGAAAAGTCCTATTGCTCTGGGCTACACAAGGGGCCATTTCTCTGCTCTGGTTGCCATGGAGAACGATGGTTATGGCAATCGAGGTGCTGGTGCTAACTTGAACACTGATGATGATGTTACTGTTACTTTTCTACCGTTGGTGGATAGTGAGAGGAAATTATTGCACATTCACTTCCTTTCTGCTCAAGAGGTAAGAAATGGTTGTGTAGCTGGTAGCCTTTGTCACAGCTGCCTCTAAGCTGTGGCCTCAGCAATCTCTGTAGCCCTGTATGTTTTTGCAGTTCAAAGAATTATAGGGAGTATGCTGTTCTGTTTGTTTAATGCTGCTCCCCATCATTTGAGGTGATTCTGAAAGGTATTTTCCCACAAATTTGATGCTTTTTTTTATAGCTCTGTAAATTGAATGTAACTTCACTGTGCATGTGAATACAAGTGTATCTTGAAAAGGACCTAGAAATAAGGATTCTGACACGCGAGACTGAAATATGCCTTTTTTTTTTTTGTAAAGGATGCAACATAAATATTGGCCAGTAGTTACAGCATGCTTTACCTCTTTTTCTAATGAAACTCAACTCATTTCTTCTTTAATAACTGTGATAAAGATGGGGAACCGCTTCAGTAAAGTGTGTACATGGGGGAAGGGAGGGTTGGAAAACCTGAAATAATTGCAAAAAGTGGATATCCTGTAGATAAAGGAGAAAAAGTATGGGCTTTAAGTTCAGAGAGGGCTATTTTTTTCAGCAAGCCACAACGTTTATGTCTTACAAGAGGATATGTTTCATGTCAAGAACTGCTAGACTCCTAAAAACGGCTTTGTAAAGCCAGAAGGCTCTTTTAGGACTTATCCTCCTTATATATTGTGCCTACCATAAATAATTAGTTGCTCATGAATAACTGAAGTATAGGAACGCCATATTGGAAATACATGTCTGAAAAATTTAGAAGGGAAGAATAGCTGGAGAGTATTTCCAGAGCCTTCAAATTTTGGTTGAGAACGCAGTGTGCATCAGTTTGGCTTTCGGAGACTCCCAGCTGTGGTGAAGTAGTATGCTAACTCTGTCAGCTTTGAAAAGGAACTGCATTGCTCCCCTAGCCCGGGTATTTTGGAGTATCACAGGTGGCTTGCTTAAAGTTGCTGGTAATGTTTCAAGCCTCATTCTCAATCCGTTTTCTCTCCCCCAAAGATAGGTAATGAGGAGCAGCAAGAAAAGCTGCTTCGGGAATGGCTGGACTGCTGTGTGACAGAAGGAGGGGTTCTCGTTGCGATGCAGAAAAGCTCTCGTAGGCGCAATCACCCGCTGGTCACCCAGATGGTAGAGAAGTGGCTCGATCGCTACCGACAGATCCGCCCTTGTACATCCCTTTCCGATGGCGAGGAAGACGAGGATGATGATGATGAATGATGAAGAAATTGAAAAGAAAATTACCAGCACAGAGTGTCTGACCCGGAGTTAGCGTTGTGCTCTAGCAGTTCGTTGTGGAACGACCCAATTCTAGAGGAAACATGCTGTAAAGGATTTTTCTAACCAGCGTGGAGAGAGTCTAGAAGCTCATCTGCTGCGTGAAGAGCGCGAAACGGGCTGGACAACAGTTTGTATAAAAACAAAGAAAAAGAAACAAAAAACAGCTAATTTTATTATCAAGACAGAAAAAAACATTTTTCTTTCTGATTGTAAATCTGTCTATAAATGTACCGCATGTGGTTGTGTAAGAGGTTGTGTAATAGGAAAAGTATACCAGCATCTTAATTATTGCGAAGAAATTTTTCAAGTAAGGGCACTTATGAAAGCACATGTTAGATTGGATATCTCTTCCCTCCAAGATTCTTTTACAGTAGAACTTGGTATTCTACATCACCTTTTAGATGATACTCTGACACATTTCCGTGAAATACCCTTTTATGTGAAATCTCACTAGTGCCCAGGTCAGATTGTGAGGTTTTTTTGTTTGCACAAAATATCCACAGCAAGTCGTAAGCAAAAATACATTCGTTATTTTACTAATATTTTAGTTACTGCTGTGCCCATATAATAAAATCTAAACTCTATGGAACAAACTGGAAGAGAAGCTAAATTTTTCATTGAGTGAAATGATTTGTTTTCTGAAAAAGTTTTGGGTTTTCTTTTCTTTTTTTTTTCCTTCTAATAGTTAATAGATTCCTTTCAGTATACATAAGAATATTTATTCAGAGAAGTGACCTAAAATAAGGGTTTTTATTCCAGCGAGCATATACTAAACAAAATTGTGTGAAATTTGAGAACTCACACTATTGAGAATTTCATATTGTTAGAACTCCGTCTTGCTGTGATACAAACCATGTATCATTTTATCATTTATTCTTTCATCAACTTAAACATTGCTGCAAATGAAGAAACACCTTTTTTAAAGGCTTACTCCTCGGTCATTAAATCTAGTGAGAATACACTTGGCAGTTCTGATTAAAAAGAAGAATCTATGCTAAAGTTGTTTTTAAAAGCACTGTGTTATATGTTTCTCAGTATGTAAACCTGGGAATTTCTTGCATGTTGATTGATGTGGCCATACTTAAACTTATGTAAGTTCCTAAGATTGTAAGTTCAGAGTATATTCTCCAGTAGAAATTTTATTATATTTGATAACTTTAGCCATGTAACCTGTAATGGATAAAGTTTATCTAAAAATCTCACTTAAACACTAAAGGTTAATGCCAGTTTTTACATATATAGTGCAATTCAGGTTGTCTTGAAAAGCACTTTTGATGGTGTGGTGGTTGAATAAGGAATTTTGCAGTAGATGAAATTGTTTTAATTAGAATTTGGAAAGAAGCCCCATAGCACATATTTTTATGTAGTTCAGAGCTATGGAAACCCTGAGGAACTTGCTGCTTTTTTCTTCCAAATGCTGCTTAGATGGTGTTGAAATGTGCACAACTCCTACATAAACTTGGTGAGGACACCAAAAGTATAAAAATAATGAAGTACTGTATTAACTTAGCAATTTTCCCATCACAGATTCCATTGAGGTTTATTATGAAATATCTTCACCTTTTTTTGGCCATTAGATCTCTTCTGATTGGTGCATGCGCAAATTTTCAGGTAAAAGAATGCATGCTTATCTGCAATGTACATATGACTTACCTGAACTAAACAGTCAGACCACAGATACTAAAGAGGTTCTCTACAAGCATATGGCCCTGTTTCAAGTTTGCTTTCTAAATTGTGTTTTTTTTTTTTGTCCTTTTTCTTACCTTGCAGTGAAATCCTTTTATACCTCGTCTAGCTGAGGATGTAAAGCTTTTCTGTCAGGGGAACATAAAGCTTTTCTGCCAGGGGAACTGAACGCCGAGTAAGCTGGGATGAGAATTTCCATGATCTGAGCCGGCCTGCACCGTGTGCTTGGTGGCATCGTTTATCTGTCGTGGTGTAGCCCAGCACACTTCTGGAGGTGCTTCTAGTTGAGGACTACGTATGCCAGCTTCAGAAGTTCTCGTTCAGTAACCAGATCGCTGTAAATTCAGATCCTAGCTTACCCAGGACTAGCTTCCCTGTGCAGACCACCATTTGAGTGGACAAAAGGATAAGCTCCTACCTTCAGTAGGCTACTTCAAGGGGTGTGCAAAATGCTGTGCGGAATTTTAACATTCCCGCCCTTTGCTTTCTGCAGTACTGTTCCGTTTAAGGAAGTAAAGCTTCCTTGTAACATGGGGAGAATAACCAATGTGAAAGTCTACCTTGAGCCAAATTCGACGAGCACGCCTTTCCTTATCTCCTGTTGCTGTACATGGGCAGCCTGCGTTGTGGCCTGACGATCCCCGTCCCCAACCAGCACTTCGCCGTAGCAAGTGGAAGTTCACCATGCAGTCAGTTCAGCTGTTTTTCAAAAGCATGCACCGTGCTCTCCGGTATTTATCTAGTTCTGGTATGAGAGGACAGTCCTGGTACTTCAGAGCTCTTGGCTTTCTTGATCATTATTGTTTTGTTCTGATGTCCTGTAAAATGGTATGTTCAGGTTAACACGCTTCACAGGTCATTTTGGAACTGGTGAAGTATCTTTTTCAAAATCAAAGTAATCCAAACCTCATGTACCTGTAGATTAAAGAGATGCAAACCCCTGCTTTGTGCTAGCACAGTAGTCAGTGTATGTTAATGGGTACTCTCCTTGAATTACATACTTGAAAGTTTACAAATACTGAGATTAATTTGCAAATGCTACCTTGCAGCTTGTCGGCAAGTTCTGCTCTTTTAGCCAAGTATATATATAAAATTGGGTTTCTCAGTGTTATTTTCCTCATATTACTGCTCGCAGTAGCACACGCTTTCCTAGCACAGAACTTGGCTTCTCATTGCTACCTCCTTTACATCTGGTCTTTTCTGGTTTTATTTATGAATTCCTCAGTGAAAATCCCTGTATTTCTTTTGTTTTTAATATATTAAAATTTAGTAATTCTGGATTCTTCCAAAGTTCTGCTGCATGGCTTATGGCAAATGTTACTAGGTTGTTTACTCCATTAACAAAACCGGTTTGTGTGCATTGAGAGACCCTTATTTAATTGCCGCTTTTCCTTTTCTCCCCTTTTGTTCAGTAACTTCCCTTAACCCCTTTTTTAGGTGGTTTTTTTTAGTGTCTGTCACCTTCAAGCTGCTTTTTTTTAAGCTACTCTGACATCCATCATCAATGGAGAGCCTCCCTGCCTGCCTTCCTTGAGTGTGACAACAGCAGTATGGCTCTGTCAGCAATGTAACAGCACAAACCTTCAGCAGCAACTGTTTATCTCCCGTTTTTTTGCCCAGTCATTTTCCATTTGAGAGTTGCAGCGTGCCGCTTCCCGGTGTTTCGGCATGTCTTAATTGCAATGATACTCTTCCCTTTCCGCTTCCATGGATCTTCTCTGCGCGTTTTGCTGGTGTTTGCACTGCAGGCGCTTGAAACCCAACAGTGGAGCGGAGCTCCTAAAACTGTAGCCTGTTACTAAAATGCATCCTTTAGTTTATAACCCTTGGGATCTCTTAATTTCTGCTCTTGTTGAGGTTGTAGCACTCCAGTAGAAGCTGTCTGCCTACGTTTGCATCCATCCTTGGGTTTGGTTGAGAGGGAGCTTGGGTGTTGGATGAAAAATACAGCATTTGCCATTCTCTGGGGGCTCTGAGCTAAGCCTCTCGCTCTCCTGGTGCGCAGTCCACTGCTGGCAGCGGATGCACGAGGAACCACCAGCGCTCGAGATCCTGCGACACGGGGAAGTACTTGCACCCATCTGGGGCGCAACTGCTTGTTTAAAAACAAATGAAAGTACCAGAGCTAGGTTATTTTTAAAACAGCTCTAAACCTTAACATCAATTAAATATTTTCCTCGTGGTTTTTACCATCATGTCAGTGTTTCCCAAACACCTTCTCTGTAACTAACCTGTTTTATCCTCCTGGTTTCTCGTGGTGTTCATGGATAATCGCTGGTGTGCTATGTTGATCACCGACAGAGCGGACACTTGTCTATGAAAGGTGACCTCTTTTTTTTTAACGTTTGAAGCTGGTAACTAGTTTTCAGTTAAATTTAAGGCAAACAAAATACAGAGTTTTGTAACCTAGACACTTCTTGGTTTCAGCTTTTTTTAGTCCCTTTCTAGACCAAGCTCTTTTCCCCATCTAACGCAGTGTGTGCTGGCACTCGTGATGCAATGTGAAAGACAGGGTGGAAAGGAAAGAACGGGCCTTCTGTCTAGCGAGGCTTGAAGCTGCTAGCACCTCTCAAGCATGTTTTCAGCTTTGTTCCCTAGTGTTTGTTAATGCTTTGTTTCTTGAGTACGTACAAAAAATGTTGTAGCTGCCTTCATAGCTTAATGGAAACCATAGTGATCTTTTTCCACCTAGGCTGCATGTAATGTCCCGCTTGATTTTTAAGTATTCACAGCAAATCGTGAGTAAGTTTACAGCTTATGGATAGCACCACCTGAAAGTCTGGATAGGAAACGAAATTCAGCAAGCGTTTCCCCAGCAGTGCAATTTTAAAACTGACCTGCACGCAGCAAGCTTGAACCGAGCTTCTACTGTGTTTCTCAAGCCTGTTGCAGGAAGCCAAGGACAGATCCTCAGCCGATGCCAGTCATGGCTCTCTTTAAGCGTCATCCTTCTGCTGACCCTGACAGAAGTGGGTCCCAGCTGCTGCTCAAGTGCCAGAAGTACCGAAGTCAGACTCGAGGAAAACTTACCTGCTCTCTGCTGTGAAACCATACTCGGTTTCGGAGGAGGGCACAGTGTGATCAGAGTTGCATTTCTGTATCTTGCTGTGCGTTCTCAATGTCTTTAACTTACAGCGTTAGTCAGATTGCAGCGAGAGCTCTTACCTTTCAGAAATTACAGAAATTTTATCACTTTTTATTGAAAACTGCACTGAACGCTAAATGTCCACCTTTACAATAAACAAATACAATAACGGTAACACACTAAAACAAAACATACTTCTGATAGCCATTGGTTTTTTTTTCTGTTTGGGACAGCTTAAGATTTTTTTTTTTGTCACAGAAACAGGAATGTACCCATACAAAGGCTCAAAATAGGCCATCTTTAAAAACAAAGGCGATGATTCACAAAAGACTATGAATATAACATGTAACTAGTTGATACAAATCTAATAGGATTTGTTAAAATCAGTCACATCTAATAACACATTTTGAAGTGTTCTTGTATAAAATATCACGTGAAGAAAAGAAGACTTTTATCAATGTCTAAAAAAGTGGGTTTTGTTCATAGACAGTCTGACAAGTTACCATAAAAAGTGTTTCCTGAGACATAAGGAAATGCAACATTATTCTTGAACCCTTTCCAGCTCAAGACTTTTTCCACTTGATAAAATAGCTGCAGATTTAAAACTGAGAAAATATATTTGAGTACAAATAGTGTGTGAAACTTAATACTTTCTTCTTTTTTTCTTTCTTTTTTTTTTTTCTTGCATCATTGCAGGGCGTAGGTGAATGCACAGCTACTTTATTCAGTGTATTGGGCAGAGAAGAGACTGGCGGTTTGTTTTTTCATTAGCCGGGGAGGGCAGCGGCCGTTGCCAGGAGCCCTTTCTGCCCTCCCCATCCCACGGATCCCAGCTGGAATGGCTAGAACTTAAACCTGGCAGGAGAACTTCTGTTACACGTCACTGGCCCTGTGAGACTGCAAAAAGGATTATTTTTTTTTTCCTTCCACTTCTAAGCCAGTACTGATGCCTCCCGTTAGAAGAGGTAACCAGATCCAAGGTTAAGGAAAGGGGTGAAGCCACATAA